AAACATCAAATTGACAAGTCAGAGCAAATGATATTCCTTTGGACAAAAAGGAAAGTTCATAATCAGATAAAGGTGAAAAAGATAAATTAACATTACTGGTATCTATGCCTTGGTTTTCTTTGGGCATTTTGGATATTTTCAGATATTTTCTGTATCCTGTTTTGCCTAAAATACAGACTCATATAACATAACAGCCAACAATGAATGGGGGCGTTGCATACTTAATTAAAATCAGCATTTAGTCTAAATGACTAAAGGTGAAGGTGAATTAATGAAACTGCATATCTAAATTGCATGCATCCATGGTGAGGGCAGTGTTGCACTTGTAGTGCCGCTCTTACACTAGGATGCATGCAGCCATATGTATGGGACAAAGTTTTTCTTTCTCTGTTGATTTATGTATGCACTGCCCCATTCATTGTTTGCTGTTATGTTATACAGTATCTCACAGAAGTGAGTCCACCCCTCACATTTTTGTAAATATCGTATTATATCTTTTCATGAGACAACACTGAAGAAATGACACTTTGCTACAATATAAAGTAGTGAGTGTACAGCTTGTATAACAGTGTAAATTTGATGTCCCATCAAAATAACTCAACACACAGCCATTAATGTCTAAACCACTGGCAACAAAAGTGAGTAGATCCCTAAGTGAAAATGTCAAGATTGGGCCCAAAGTGTCAATATTTTGTGTGGCCACCATTATTTTCCAGCACTGCCTTAACCCTCTTGGGCATGGTGTTCACCAGAGCTTCACAGTTGCCACTGGAGTCCTCTTCCACTCCTCCATGATGACCTCACGGAGCTGGTGAATGTTAGAGACCTTGCGCTCCTCCACCCTCCGTTTGAGGATGTCCCACAGATGCTCAATAGGGTTTAGGTCTGGAGACATGCTTGGCTAGTCCATCACTTTTACCCTCAGCTTTTCTAGCAAGGCAGTGGTCATCTTGGAGGTGTGTTTTTGGTTGTTATCATGTTGGAATACTGCCCTGCGGCCCAGTCTCCAAAGGGAGGGGATCATGCTCTGCTTCAGTATGTCACAGTACATTTGGCATTTATGGTTCCCTCAATGAACTGTAGCTCCCCAGTGCCGGTAGCACGTATGCAGCCCCAGACCATGACACTCCCACCACCATGCCTGACTGTACGCAAGACACACTTGTCTTTGTACTCCTCACCTGGTTGCCGCCACACACGCTTGACACCATCTGAACAAAATAAGTTTATCTTGGTCTCATCAGACCACAGGACATGGTTCCAGTAATCCATGTCCTTAGTCTGCTTGTCTTCAACAAACTGTTTGCAGGCTTTCTTGTATATCATATTTAGAAGAGGTTTCCTTCTGGGATGACAGCTATGCAGACCAATTTGATGCAGTGTACAGCATATGGTCTGAGCACTGACAGGCTGACCCCACTCCCCCCCCAACCGTTCAACCTCTGCAGCAATGCTGGAAGCACTCATACGTCTATTTCCTAAAGACAACCTCTAAATATGATGCTGAGCACATGCACTCAACTTCTTTGGTCGACCATGGCGAGGCCTGTGTTCTGAGTGAAACCTGTCCTGTTAAACCGCTGTGTGGTCTTGGCCACCGTCCTGCAGCTCAGTTTCAGGGTATTGGCAATATTCTTATAGCCTAGGCCATCTTTATGTACAGCAACAATTCTTTTTTTCAGATCCTCAGAGAGTTCTTTGCCATGAGGTGCTATGTTGAACTTCCAGTGACCAGTATGAGAGAGTGAGAGTGATAACACCAAATTTAACACACCTGTAAGTGTGCCTTTGTATATATTGGTTTTCATCTGTTCGAGTCTGCAAAAGTGGACCTGGACACAAACGTATTGCTTTCAGTCCAATGAACCTGAACATACCCAGATGTAAATGGAAGTGCATCCATTTATGTTCAGCCACTTACTGGGATGGTCTGTTTTTATCCATCTGATCATGGGTCAAAAAAAATGGATCGACAGAAAGCCTGTGTGAAAAGGCCCTATCTGTTTTATTGCTTTGAAGGCACATGAAAGACATGTTTGTATTGTTTTAGAATGTGTTTCCCAGAAGCGGTACACCGATATACTAATAAGCACAGAGAGAGATAACTCATGAATAAATAGTTCAAAGAGCTGAGTCATGCAGCAATATCACATTGTTTGTGAGACTCTATCGAGCATTATTTAGGCTGACCTTTTATATACTGCTGCTGTCTTTTATTTATGATTAGAAAGGTTTCTGGCTAACAAAATGCAAGTGTCCATTATTTTTCAAACTAAACCTCTGAGAGAGAGCAATTATGCAAATAATACAGCCACGCTGTGCACAGGACAATTAGGATATATAGACCGCTTCAGTGCCTGGAAACCAAATCAAGCAGACAAAAACAATTGAAAGAAAGGCATACAGATCTAATTTCGCTTATAAATCAAGCCGTAAAAAAATGTAATAACATAATGTTAAAACAACATTTTTAAGAGGGTGATACAGGCTTCAATAATATTACAACATGTATGCTCCTGTAATATTCTACATGGCTAAAAATCAGGGGCGGACTGACCATTTGGAAACTCAGGCACTGCCCGAGGACCCGGGGTCAGTAGGGGGCCCCATGAGATGCCCCTGGTACCTTTTCATAGGCTTTTTTGGGTTTGGGCAAGGGCACAAGGACCCCATGATCCCCTATTGTCAGGGGGCCCCATGAGTTGTCAGTCCGCCCCAGCTAAAAATATATCCCATATATCCCAGCATCTGTGGTTGATGTACTCAGATTCGTGAATCTTTTAATGTAGGTGTTGGTGTTGAAGAGGGTTGGGGTACCAACACCAAAGCACTAAATTGGCATTTCTGAAGCCTTTTCAGTCATGGCACCTTTTAAAAGTACGCTAAATCTCAAGGCACCCCAGTCTAAAATGAAAACTTAAATCTTATATATATCAGTAGGATAAGCCAGGGACAAAGCACCCAACCACTTTGATGAAATTAACTTCAGATGTTCTCCTTCAAATAAGAGGATCCGCATGACATCAGAGGTCCCCCTTCACATCAGAAGGTCACCATCACATCAGAGGCCCCCAACCATGTCAAAGGTCTCCCCATCATGCCAGAGGTCCCCCCATTATGTCAGAGTTTCCACTTCACATCAGACGCCCACAATCAGAGTAGTTCTTATACATCAGAGGCCCATTATACACGAGTCCTCTATCTCAGCAGAGCCTCCCCATCACATCAAAGTCCCCCAATCATAGAACCTCCATCAGAGAGCCCCCCAGTTACACAGCCCCACTCATCACAGAGCCCCTTCATCACATAGTCCCTTCATCATAGAGCCTTCAAATCACACAGCCCCCTCTTCAAATCAGAGGCCTACCTTTTGGCTTCAGTAGCGTGGCAGATGGTGGGAGGTGGAGGACGTCCGAAAGATGAGGGCCTCCATTTTTCCTGACTGTTGGGGGTGGCCCTGCATGCTGCCTGTCCTGGTTCAAAGTCATGCATTGCCATGGTTCAGGCGAGTTGGCCACCATCACCAAAGCAACAAATGATGCCATGTGTCCTGGCCCTAGAGTATCATTGATTGTTATAGTACTGGTGGCTAGTCCACCAACACCATCGCAACCTATTATGCAGAACCAAGGCAAACTGAGTCACATGTTTTTGGCACCCCTGGGAACCTAATGTTACCCTGGTTGAGAAAGTGCAAAGTACTACTTGTTAACTTTAAGTTTAGAGGCTATAAACAGCCTTACCTCTCTTCATCTTTAATGCCTGGGTCAAATTTGTGCCCTTTAATGAACTAAATATTGTTAGAGATTCTGTATATAGCCCTAGAGAACAGAACACAGCCCATATGTATTTATCTACTGCTTCTCTTCAAACAGGAAACAGGAATTTTTTATTCAGGAAGAAGACATAGAGTATAGTCAGATGCAGCTACAAACCTATAAACATTGCCATTTACTGGTTAAAGAATATATCTACTGAATACTAAGGTCTAGTTGTTGTACAAAATACATAAACAACTGTATTCCAACCCTCCCACTCAACAACTATTCCTATATTATTCCAATTTCGGATATCAGTTATAACTGACTTTTGTTTTTCATGGATTGGAAATCTTTGCATCCCAGCCCACGACTCTGGCTCTGGTTTAAATGCTACGTGAGCAACACACAGTAGGTCAGACTTTTTTTATTGCTTCTGGTGGATTGTCTGATTGAAGCCTGTTGTGGCCTTGTTTCTTCTTTTAGTGTTTGGATTGTCTGTGTTAATTTATATTTCTGTTTCACTTTGTTGTTTATCTTCATGTGACACAGATGTGAAATCTCCCTCAGTTTGAAGCGATTGTGTTAGCTATGAAATTTTGAACACACTGAAGTTTCATCTGTAGTTTTAGCCTTTTCAAGTAAGATTTCCCCTTTTGTGATGGCACAACTGTCACCTTGGGAAGGTCATTACATTGCCTTGTTTTTGTGAGCTTCCTCACTGACAAAAGATTAGTTTCAAGAGCAGGGACATGCCTGACATTTTTCACAGGTATATTTCTTGTGACACTCTGGGAAATAGGACAGTAAATAAAACCATCTCCTATTCCTTATGATTCCATTATTTGCCTATTAGCTGTGGTGAATTTTTCAGTTTTACTCTGGTCAAGGTGAATAAAGAAACTGTCATGTGTCATGTGACTATTAACTCCTGAATCAACACACCATGCCTGCAAAGATGAGGTGCAAATTTTGGATTGAAAAACATATTTATTATCTGAAGAAAAATCAGTTTCTTCCTTCACACTTTTGGCCTTTTGTAGTTTAGTTTGTTTTGTATTCTAGCTTTTAACTGCTTCCCGTCCGCCCTATAGCAGAAGTTTGTCTACAGGGCGGCACGGGTGCGCAAAATCACGCATGTATATGTGATTTTGCATGTCCGGGTTGGGGGTGCATGCGTGCCCTACCTGCTCCGCCATTCACGGCCGATGATTACTTGCTAGCACCTGGTGATTGCTGATTGCCCCACATGTTAATCCCTTCCTGCCCAGTGCCATTAGTACAGTGTCAGTGCTTTCTATTAGCACTGATCAATGTATTGGTGTCACTGGGGATGTCAGTGACACCAAGTCAGTTCCCCCCAGTGCCAGAATGCCCGCCGCAGTCCTGCTATAAGTTGCTGATCACCGCCAATACTAGTAAAAATAAAAAATGTAAGAAATTATCCCAGTATATATACCGCCATTTGTAAACGCTATAAATTTCACAACCAAAATTAAACCAATTAATTTACATGTATTGGGATTTTTTTTTAGCAAAGACATGTAGCAGAATACATTTTGGCCTCAATTTATGATGACATTTGATTTTTAAAATTTTTATACTGGACATGTTTAATAGCAAAAAGTCAAAAATATTGTTTTTTTCTCAAAATTGTCGGCCTTTTTTTTATAGTGCAAAAAATAAAAAATGCACAGACAATCAAATACCAACCAAAAATCTCTGTTGGTGGGGAAAAAAAGGACGTAAATTTCATTTGGGTACAGCATTACATGACTGCGAAATTGTTAAAGTAACGCAGTGCCATAATGCAAAAAACTACCTGGTCAGGAAAGGGGGTAAATCCTCTGGAGGGCAAGTGGTTAAATTACCTTGTTTCTTGCACACAAACATCTACGTGTCTTTTGTTGCACATTACTGTTTTTATTCCTATTTTTCGTCTTTAAAGTGGTTCTAAAGGCTCAAGGTTTTTTACCTTCATGCATTCTATGCATGAAGGTAAACACCTTCTGTATGCAGCAGCTCCCCCAGCCTCCCCTAATACTTCCCTAAGCCCCCACTCGATCCAGCAATGTGCATTGGAGTCTCGGCTATCCTGGGACTCTTCTCATTGCCAGAGACAGAAGTGGGAGCCATTACTCCCAATTGATAAAAGTAGTACAATGTTACCATAGTAACATTGTACTACTTTGGGGAAGTGATCAGTATTTTTTTTTTTTTACACAATTTGCTTATAGCAAAGAATTACTTTGCTATAAGCAAGCATTTACCTGAATGACATCGATTCATTCAGGTTTTTTTTTTTTTTTTGTGTGCTTAGCTGTGATTTGGCCACAGCTAATCACATGACATGTGCATGTGATTAGCTGTGACCATTCACAGCTAGACAGTAGTATACAATGGATGGCATGAATGAAGCCATCCATTGTATACAACTGTCATGTGACCTGCTGTGATTGGTCACAGCAGGTCACATGGTACCGGCAACGGGGCCGATACTCAGATCTGTCATCGGCCGTGTCCGAGGTACACGGCCGGTGACAGATCGCACCTCTGCGCAGCTCTGCAGGACCGCAAACAGCGCATGTGTGGGAGGACGCCATTTGGCGTCCAACCCGGAAATGCAGTACATTTTGCCAGCCGCCTTTTGGCTATTGGCCGGGTGTGTACTGGTTAAATAGGTACCCACCTATTTAAAAAATGCAACTTTAATGCAAATCCTTATTGCTAAAAATTTAACTTTTTTTTTTAACATACTATCACAAGTCAGTGCCCCCTGATCACCGCTACACCAGGTATATGATGATGTTGTACTTCACTGGTAACAGTATTTTTAAAAAAATGTCTTTATTTTCCAAAATATAGTGACAAAAAATTACAACTTCAAATAACTCGCCATGACTACCTTGGACTGTCTACTTTCCAAAAAGGGGTCATTTAGGGAATATTTGTACTGTCCTGGTGTTTTCGGGCCTCAAGAAATGAGATGGGCTGCCAGTACATCAGGACTGATCAATTTTCAGATCATAGTTTGAGGACTCTATAACTTTCCTACAGACTAAATAATATACGCTGATTTGGTTCATTTTTACCAAAGAAAGTCAGCAGTATACATCTGTTATAAATTTATGAAGAATGATTACTTATTTGCAAACATTTATAACAGAACAAAAAATGCTTTTTTTTTAATTTTCATTTTTTTTTTAAATTTACTTAGCAAAAAAACTAAAAGCCCTATGGTGATTAAATTCAACCAAAAGAAAGCTCTATTTAGTTTGGGTACAGTGTTGCATGACCGTGCAATTGTCATTCAAAATGTGACAGTGCTGAAAGCTGAAAATTGGCGGGGGGAAAGGAGGTGAAAGTGTCTGGTATTGAAGTGGTTAAACATCACCCTTTTATACCTACTTTATTACTTGAAAAATCACAGCATTGACTCATAGCTATCTACCTTCCATATCCTCCTGAAAGATAAACATAGTTTTACAAACATGGCCATAAAACTCTGCTATTTATTTTACGCTGCAGCAATGCAACTATGACAAGTCCACAGCATATAATGTAGAAGAGGGATTTGCTGTGTTTATGTAGCTCCCTGGTGCCATACCCGTGGGCCACGTACGGCCTGCTGAGTGTCAGGCACTAGGTAAACAAACACCTCAACGTGTCATAGCACGGAGCAGTTTAACAGCTTTACCACCGCCCTATAGCATAAATACTGCTACAGGGTGGCAGCGGTGCGCGAAATCACGTATATATACATAATTTTGTATTTCTGGGTGAGGGACTGCGTAATTTGCAGCCTTGGCTGTCAATCCCTGGGTCCCGGCCAGTGATTATTCGCTGATTGCTGAGCATCTCCGATGGGGGTAGAGGGGGGAGAACTGTTTGTAAACCAAGCAGTTCTCTCCCCTGTCAGGTCCTGCACACTGCTTTGCATGGCTGTGCATAGCAGAGCCGTACAAAGCAGTGTGCTTACAGTGAAGCACTAACACAGCACACGGTTATAAACGGCACACAGCACACAGTCAACCCCTTGATCGCCCAACATGTTAACCCCTTCCTGCCCAGTGCCATTAGTACAGTGTCAGTGCTTTTTATAAAGTAGTGATCACTGTATTGGTGTCACTGGGGATGTCAGTGCGCCAAGTCAGTTCCCCCCAGTGTCAGAATGCCTGCCGAAGTCCCGCAATAAGTCACTGATCGCTGCTATTACTAGTTAAAAAAAAAAAAAAAAGCCCAGTATATATACCGCCATTTGTAAACGCTATAACTTTCACGTAAACCAATTAATTTACACATATTGGGATTTTTTTTTAACAAAGACATGTAGCAGAATACATTTTGGCCTAAATTTATGAAGAAATTAGATTTTTAACATTTTCTTACTGGACATGTTTAATAGCAAAAAGTCAAAAATATAGTTTTTTTTTCTTAAAATTGTTGGTCATTTTTTTTATAGCACAAAAAATAAAAAATGCACAGGCGATAAAATACCACCGAAAGAAAGCTCAATTCGTGAGAAAAAAAGGACGTACATTTCATTTGGGTGCACTGTTGCATGACTGCGCAATTGTCAATTAAAGTAATGCAGTACCGTATCGCAAAAAATGGCCTGGTCATGAAGGGGGGTAAATCCTGTGGAGGGCAAGAGTCTAAATGTAAATGCTAGCAGTTGCCAATGTGCAGGTTTGCGGATTAAACCTGCACACTGGCTTTCCAACCACATTGCAGCAGTGGTGTCCACATGTACTCACCAATCAAATGTGCTGGAAAAGGTCTGAAAAAAATGAGATGCAAATTTCTGTAAAATGAACGTGATATGAATAGTTGTAAATGCAAAACTGCTCTCTGCATTTAAGTCTGTTCAATACTCAGTCTCACCAGCTGTGTTGGACAACATGTTCCAATGCCACAACAAGGCAATTTGCCATTTGTCCTATGGCTTCAGGTGCTGCATCGGCATGTACTAACAAATAAAAGACACAAGCCATGTGCATTTTTGCTCAGCATGTTCTGACACAATGTAATACAGTGCAATATGCTGCAGCACATACAGTACATACAGTATTAATTACATACAAGATGTAAAATGTAAAAAAAAAGCCAGCACTGCAATGCCTACCCATTGATATGCATGTGCTGGTGTAAATAAGTACAAATTCTACTGTGCAGCTCTTTGGACATGCCAGAAGCTGCACTTGAGACCCTCTATATTTACCAGGCTGACCACCACAGTTGCAGCTGCTTATTTATAACTAAAGGAGTTGAGAATAACAGAAACCTGTATGGACGTGCTGCCCGTAGGTGGAGCTGTCCTCTGTATTGTTATGTGCCAGATGAAAAAAGCATTCCCGCACTTACCATAATAAATCTTCTATTTTATTGATCCATCGGGTCATAAATACAGTAAATTCCAGCTATCAAATGGTTCCTCAATGCGGCTGACCTTTTCATATCCCAGCCCCTCTGTGCAGCAGATCTTTATTGTTCCAACGGTACTTGTCTATTTACAGACCCACAAAATATATATATATATTCCTGTTTTAGCTGTTCTAACAAATCTCTGGATGAATGTTTGTTACTCTTCAGAGACTTCCCAAGTATTGAAGCAAGGATGAGAATAACAACCTTGCATGTTCTCCCTGTGCCTTTGTGGGTTTCCTCCGGGTACTCTGGTTTCTCTCCCACACTCCCAAGACATGCTGGTAAGTTAATTGGATCCTATCTAAATTGGCCCTAGCATGTGTATGTATGAATGTGAGTTAGGGCCCTTAGATTGTACACCCCTTGAGGGTTAGGGACTGATGTGAATGTATGATATGTATATGTAAACAGGGCCCCTGCTTCCACTAGGCAAACTAGGCAGCCGCCTAGGGTACACTGCCACCTAGGGGTGCCTGGGCACAGCACAGGCCGGCACTCTCTCTGTGTGGCCTATGGGCCTCTTGTAGGAATTCTTCATTTCACTGCAGAGTCCCCCTCTTATCATACACAGGGAATGGTGGTATCCTTACTCTGCACAATTGTCTCACAGCCTGTCCATACACATGACCATGTAGAACACACACACACACATATTTATTTATTTATACACTATATTGGGCCAGCCCTCCAATCATTAGCTTCAGGTGTTTCAATCACCTCCATGGCCACAGGTGTAGAAAATCAAGTCCAAAGGAACAGTGCTAAAGAGACTAATGCAGGCCATAGACGGGTCGAACATCGGCCAATTTTTCAAACGATAAACGAAAAATCAGTCGTTCGTTAAGCCGACGTTACCACCAACGATTAAAAAAATCGGCCGACTAAATCATAATGTTCACCCCATATAACAGCCAAACTTCTGTCTCTTGCAGGTCACGGCTCATGCGCAGATTTTTTATCATTAAAACGATCGGCCGATTTGGCCATCATTGCCGCGAAAATCGTCCGTTTTCCGCAAATTTTCCAACATGCCCGATAATCTAAAATTCCAAAAAACCCGAAAACCGGCCGACCAATTAACCCACTGACTGTGTGAAAATTGGCCGATTTTTCTTTCGACAGAAAAATTGGCCGATTTAACACTTTCAGTTGTATGCAATTAGGCAGGCCCTTGCACTACATAGTTGAAGGTAAATCTAAAGGAAATTGGGCAGAAATTGGACAAAAAATTGTAGAGTGTATGGTCAGCCTTAGTCATCCAATAACAGCAGTATATTAACGCCCAATTGTGGCTGTGATGGAATATCCACTCACCTAGACAGCAAAAGCCCCCGAGCTGGAGTAGATGGTAATGCAAATGTGATCAATGGAAGCAAGCTGGCCGGACTGGGGACCACGGCACACCGGAACTGACATCACAGGTCTCGGGAGGAAGCGGAAGTTGGCTACCAGTAACCAGGCTGAACCGCAAACTGAGCTGGTTTCCACGACAACGCATTTTGCGAGCATGCGCTTTATCAAGTCATGAATAACAGTGGCAACTAGCGATCTTATATAAGGAGAGCTAATCTAGTGGGCAAGCGCCAACAGAGGGCAGAGCATGGACTTAATATTCCATCACTGCCTTTATAATAGAACCCACTATAAATCAAAACACGTTAAAAAAAAATTGCAAAAACTAACTTAGAACCATTAGTCCCTACACAATCAAATATGTTAAAAAAAATATATATATATATATATATATATATATATATATATATATATATATAAAAGAATAATTATAAATATATAAGCACACACATCCCAATTCTAGTTATTGAAATATTACCCCAATATTAAATGCCAATAATTACTGATAAGCATTAAACTAGTGTAAAACATTATAAAAAATTATACCACATGTGAAAAGAAAAAGGAATAGAAAAGGGAAATATATTTACCCAAGAGTTGGTTTTCTAAGATCAAACTAAATCAATAAAACAGAAACAAAAAGAAAAATGAAAAAATTACACACATTATCCAGACAATACTATGGATCTCAAGATCTTCATTAAGACCATTTGGGGACATGGAGACGCATCAGATGGAGCTAGGGCGTATGTCACCGTGCATACGTGCATGCCTGCGGCCATCTTGGAAGTGGTACACGCAGTTTTCTTGTCCTTATACAAAGCTGTATTGGATTTTTTAATGTAAGTGCATTACCTTGGTGCAAATAAAACTTGCTAAGGATTTTTACACTATGGGAAGCTTACATGTTACATGTATCTGCCCTCTATATGCCTAATACCGGTTATCCATTTGGTGTGCGGAAATGCTGTTAACATTGGTTACCATTACATATCGTTTATATTTGGTTAAAATATATTTTGTCTTTAATTTTGGGGGCATCTTATGGCACCTATTTTTGCAAATTAGAAGATCTTTAGCAGTTTCATATTTTGTTGATTAAATATTTATAATTTTTTAATTAATTAATTAATTAAATTGAATTAGTTGATTGATTACTTAATTTGTTTTTCATTATTTATTTAGGGGGGGCACAAGTAGCTGGTCTTGCCTAGGGCGCAAAATAGTCTAGCACTGGCCCTGTATGTAAAGCGCTGCGTAAATTGGCAGCGATATATAAGTAGCTGTAGTAATAATAATAATCATAATAACCTAGGACTTCTCTTTTAAAAACAAGCCAGAAGAGTCAACTACCCTTTTTTAACCTTGATAGGGTCTGTTTGACAGGAGTGGATTGTATTTTGATTTTTAGATTGTTCATAAAATGGTCTGCTTGATGTAAATAATGTCATCAGTGTGTATTGTTTCATAATAAAAAAAAGTTTGTATATACAGTATGATGTAGGCTTTATTCACAAAGCTAACACACCAGGATAAGTATCCTTATTTTCAAAAGTGACAGTTAGCTTTCAAGTCCAGCGAGATTTGGAAATTACAGTCACATGGTCAAAAATAGTCACTTATCCTGGTGTAAAGATTTTGTGTGACAGGGGGGCAGTCATATTTGCTTGTTTCATTTGCAGCTTTGCTTCCTCCTTTGTGTGCTGGACAGTGGTTGTATTTTGCAGTTCCTTCATAAGCTGGCCATACTCTCTTAGGCTTGGTTCACATATATGCGGGTGGTGCCGCTGCGGATCCGCACGAAAATCCATGCAGCCGCACTACCCGCACAGAGGAATGCGAACCCGGGTGGGTGCTATTAGTTCTAATGGCACGCCTGCTGTACCTTCCTGCTGCTGTGCGTTGCCAGCATGATGCAGTGCCTCTTCCAGGGCCAGCTGCTCTCCTCATCTGGAGCCCATTCTCAGAGGGATCACTGATACAGCATCCACTACCTTGGCACCATTGGCAATCCCTGCTTCTCTGGGCTCAGTGTTCCCTGTTACCATCCTCAGGGATGCTGAGCACTCCACTCCAAGGAGAGCCCTCTCATCATTCTGGCTTCAATACCAGGTAAGTGAAACCGTCCTCATGGCTGGTATGTGCAGTCCCTCAATACTTTAAATGTAGATAGATATAAGTCGGCAACCCGGTGGACTCGATCATTGAAAATCTTTTTTGGCTACACAAGTACATACAGTAAAACAATGCTAATGCATTTCAGCTGCTGTGGCCTTACTCATTGCATAATAAAACAGAAAATAATCAAAATTTTTATGGGTTCTAACATCCACTGCCTAACCATTTTAGGAGGCAGAGCCCAATAATTAAAATCATTAGTAAAATGACAAGTAGGAAGAGGAAAACACTTAATCAATGATGGTGAGCATATATACCAATAAATTCCAAATGTATACAAATCTAAACATTTTTTTAACATTGTCCCAACAGAACATTATTTCAAAAAAAATAGTCCAGGTCCTGAATTTGGGATA